TTTTTTTTTTTTTTTTGTCAGAACGGGGGTTGAAATCAGGGCCTCAGGTTTCCCAGGCAGGCATTCTACCACTTGAGCCACCCCACTAGCCCTTTTTTGTGTTGGGTATTTTCGGAACAGGGTCTCACAAACTATTTGCCAGGGCTAGCTTCAAATCATTATCCTTCTGAGCTCTACCTCCCAAGTATCTAATTACAGGCATAAATCACCAGCACCCAGCTCAAGGTACACATCTTGACTATTAAATAGAGCTTGTGTATCCGAGTCCCCCACTGGGAGGAATATATAATAAACAAACGAAAATTTAAGAGTACTTTGAGTAAAACTGTGTTGGAGCCGGGTATCAGTGGTTCACACATGTAATCTTAGCTACTCAGGATGGCCTTTCAAAGCCAGCTTGGGCAAATAGTTCGTGAAACCTCATCTCAAAAATACCCAATACAAAATAGTCCTGGCTGACTGGCTCAAGTGGTAAAGAGCCTGCTTTGCCAGTGAGAAGCTCTGCTCAAAGCCCTGAGTTCAATCCCACCAAAAAAAGACGGGGGCTCTTTTCTCTTAGTAAACTAACCCTCATACTATGGCATTTCTTTACCCAAAGGCTACCTGGAAATGGAGGAAGATAATGGTTAAGCAAGTTATCTGGTTAATAGGAAAGAGGACAAACTACACAAACCATGGAATATAAATCATCTACACCACCAGCTGAAGGAAATAACTTGTTTCTTAAACATCACATTTCCTTAACGCCAGTTTTTCTACAGTATGAAAAATGTTTTAAACTTATCAGCATCCTAAGAGCTTGTTGGAAACGCATACAGACCCTAGACCCACTAAATCAATCTGAATCTCTGGGGGTAGGGCCCAGGAAGTTGTGTTTTCACCAACCCTCCAAGTGAGGTTTGAGAAGCCCTGCTCAATAGCAATTTAATAAGAGTTCTTTAAGTTGGAAATCGATTTCAATTCATGTCAGAATAACTGGATGGCCGCAGAACAGAACGTCAGTGTTTTTAATGTTCAAAATGTGTTGTTCCTTCCTTGATGCTCTCTACCCACCCTCATCCCTGTTCTTACCAGCCAGATTGTTGTAGCAGTCTGTCTGGGTGGTGTGCAGTATGTTTTCTTGTTCAGGTGTAAGAGCCGGGCCCTGAGGTCCTAGATTAGGTATCGGGGAAGGCAGACTCGGGTCCAAACCCCGCAGCTGCAGTAGAGCTCGGTGGTACCTACTCACAGCTTCCCGGTATTTCCCTTCCCGGTAGCGTTGGTTCCCTTCCTCCTTGTACAGCTGAGCCTCCTGCAGGCGCTTCTCCATAACTTTGGTTGCCCAGTGCTCTTGCAGAATTGGGAAGTGGAAGAGCAATTGAAGCTCTGGGGTTGGAATCCAAATAACTGGGATTTAGCAGCCCAGTTATTTGGGAGGGCGGAAAATTACCCTTCCCCAAGAGGGCCCCCGGGAGGGGAGCTTTGCTGGTTTCTACTACAGCCCCCACCTCTCCTCTTGAAGTGTTTCTCAGTCTCCAGAAGTGCAGGTAACAAGTTAGGAAGAGGATGTGGGGATACCGAAGCCAAGGATTAAGTGGTTCCCTAAAGTGGCGATCCCGGAGTGAGGCGACTCCCCGAAAGAGCAAAGGCCCTCCGGAGGAGTCCACACGCCTGCATAACTCACTTCCTCCTTCCAGACACACCGCCCCACCCCCGACCTGGAAGTGAAAAGGAGTGGGCGGTAACGACAGCTACGCCAAATCGAAAGGGCTTGGCCCCTTCCACCTATTTATTTGTCCTTACTCAATAGACAGTTACCGGTGACTGTGCTGTGAGATGAGGAACGAGGCGAATGAGGTCCGTGGCAATAAACCGCAGGTGGGGCTGAGGGAGCCGCATAAGCATCCCAGCTACAAGCCCACCAAGTACCCGGGCAGTTCCAGGCCCTCTGCAGAGGCCCAAGCCCGGACGTTTCCTCAAGAGCTTCTGGTTAAGGTCGGGAGCACGGAGAGGAAAGGGTCCGACCTGCAGCAATATGGTATCTAAAGGGTCGCGTACATTGCGCCACGACGCCCAATCAGAAGCGCTTCTGAAAAAGTAATCCCGCAGAAACGACCCCACCTTCCCAGCACACCAACCCGGGGCGGGGGCAAACGCTTCGCCAATTGAAAAATCAAGACGATCACAGATGGCCAATGAGGGCGGCAGACGACGATTCAAGCTGGCCAATGACAGAAATAAAAGGCGGGGTTAGGACGCCCGTTGCTAGGTAGAAGTTCAGATGTTCAGAGAAAAGGTTACTATAGTTCTTGGTTTTGAAAAGCCTTTTTACCTACTAGCTCACGAAAATAATTACTAGTTATCTTTCATATTGCAACAGCTTGCTTTCCGGATTTTGTTGTTAGTCTCAAAAAGCTGCTTTCACACGGAATAGAGACAGGCCCCAGCCAGCCTCAGGATGCCTCGGCAATTGGAAGTGAGCCGGAAGTACTGCTGGTGAAAGGACGGGAGGGGCCCCGGACGGCTGCGCAGAACCCCCGGTTGAAGTACGGAAAGACGGGCGCGCACACGTTTCCGTCCTACGAGGCACTTGAGGCATAGCCAGCCCTTCCTGTCTCAGATTTCGGTGCGGCTGCGCGGTGGTACCGCCGGCGCTGATTGGCCCGAGGGCGCGAGAAGGAGGGAGGAAACTCCGTCGTCTTCTGCGCGCGCCTGTCCGCGGTAGGGCACCGAGGAGCTGGAAGGAAAGCTATTCCGCGTTGGGTTGTTTTGGGCTCCTTGAGCCGAAAGGGGGAGGGGAGGAGGAAGGAGACCTAAACACCACAGCGGCGGGACTGCGCGGCCTCCGCCGCTGCGTGCGTGCGTGCGCTCGCGCGGGCTCAGTGCTGGCGCGGGAGGCGGAGGCGGGCGGCGGCGGCGCCTGCGCGGTCGGGCTCGGTCGACGGTTCGCAGGGGAGGAGGCGGCGGGAGGCGGAGGAGGCGGCGGCGGCGATGGAGGTGAAGCGGCTGAAAGTGACCGAGCTGCGGTCAGAGCTGCAGCGGCGGGGTCTGGATTCGCGCGGCCTCAAGATGGATCTGGCGCAGCGGCTGCAAGAGGCGCTGGACGCCGAGATGCTCGAGGACGAGGCCGGCGGTGGCGGGGCCGGGCCCGGCGGGGCCTGCAAGGCGGAGCCTCGGCCTGTGGCCGCGTCGGGCGGCGGCCCGGGCGGGGACGAGGAGGAGGACGAAGAGGAGGAGGAGGAGGAGGAGGACGAGGAGGCGCTGCTTGAGGACGAGGACGAAGAGCCACCCCCTGCTCAGTCCTCGGGCCAGGCCGCGCTGCCGCCGCCGGAGCCCCCGGAGGCGGCAGCCATGGAAGCCGCGGCCGAGCCCGATGCTTCCGACAAGCCGACAGAGTCCACGGCCGGGTCAGGTGGGGTCAATGGTGGTGAAGAGCCGAGCATCGGCAAGGGGGAGGAAGACGAGCCGGAGGAACGGAGCGGCGACGAGACGCCGGGATCCGAGGCACCGGGTGACAAGGCCGCCGAGGAACAGGGTGAGGAGCTGGCAGTGGAGCCCGGCTCCAACCTGCCGGGTGCGTCCCTGCTCCGGCACCGCGGCGTCCGATGCCTTGTTCCCGCTTACCCGAAAGTGCACGGCTCCCGTCGCTGTTTGATGGGACTCCCCAGGGGAGGTCGCTTTCATCCCCTGCCACCTTTCTGAGGGGTCTGGCCTCCTCCGTGGCTTCACTCTTTGCAGGAGTTCCTGCCTAACTTGGTTTCTTGGTGCCAGTGAATGGAAGTGAGTGATTTTGCATGCGAGCTACCTGTGGAGCAGACTCTCCTGCTGCTTATCTTTTTTTAGCCGAAAATGTGCTGAGGAATTGGCGATTTCAGGGACCGCTAGACCGACAGTTGAAGGTTCAGGCGTTAGGGCTCTCTGGCTGTTGACTTTCTCACCGTAAAAATATTAAGCAATAAAAGGAGTCCATCAAAAGTCCGCCCTGTCAAAAGCACATTGCTAGAGCTTTAGCCACACAGTATCTGGACATGTAACTTTGCTCCTGCTTGAGCGGTAGGGGACAGCCGTCTAAGAGGGAAGGTTGGGTTTAATTGTTAACTAGGGAAGAGAAAGTCTTAGTCTGTGCATTTAGACCAAATTAGTTACTTGACTAGGACTTTTGCCTTGTCTCTGTTATCATTTAATTTGTTTTCCGTGGGATCAGTAGATGGACGTGTTTATAGATCTGCTGTACACTTGTGCTAGCCTTTTACATTTTAGATTCTTGACTTTCTGAACTGTAATCATTGAGGTTTTGGTGGGTTCAGTGAGTAACTTTGTGGAAGAAAGTGTGTAGAGACACCAGGGAGTTAGTGACCTTTCCTCTTTTCTTTAGAAGTGATTATTTGGTTAGCATCAGAGTAGGGAGAGAAATGGGAACTGCTTCCAATTCTTACCTTAAAGTGGGTTGCTCTTGGACTGGTGAAGTGGCTCAAGTGGTAGAGCGCCTGCTTAGCAAGTGTGAGACCCTGAGTTCAAACCCCAGCACTGCCAAAAAGAAATAAAAATGGATTGTCTTAGTTCTTATTATAACGTTTTTTAGGTTGCTTCTGAGTGTCATGGTGTAATTGGAACCTATTTTACAACAATCACATGTAACTTGCAGATTTTTTGTTGTTTTGGAACAAAAATCCTCTTACATAACCTTTGTCTTGTGTGTATCCCAAACAGCAGATAAAACAAAACAAAAAGGATAAAGGATGGCTTTAAAGAAATTATTACTATCAGTCTTCTTAGTGTTGCAGAATCCTAAAGGAAAACTGGGATTTTTTTATATCTCTTATAAAGAATGTTGCAGCTGGGAGTCAGTGGCTCATGCCTGTAATCCTAGCTACTCAGGAGAATCTGAGTTCGAAGCCAGCACAGGGAAATAGGTCCTCAAGGCCCTCTCTCAAAAAATACCCAACATGAAACAGGGCTGGTAGAAGGGCTGAAATGGTAGAGCGCCTGCCTAGCAAGCACGAGACCCTGAGTTCAGTCCCCAGCATTTCCAAAAAAAAAAAAAAAGAATGTTGCTAAATATGTGACAACACCTTTCTGCCCCAAATCATGTGCAGTAAAGATGCAGTATTATTTATGGGTTTCTTGTGATTTAATGGTTTGCTCTTCCAACTTTCAGTGAAAGCCCTTGATAAAAATCTAGCTGTGTATCATGCATTTTTGTTCATTTGCTATGTAAGAAAAAGCCATTAGGTGGCTGTGCATTTCAATGCAAACTTCTATTTCATGAAGCTGTGGAAAAGTGTTAGAAAAGGTCGGTATTAGTGCCTACCTTAAACCCAAATCTGATAAGAATCAAACTTAACCTGTGAAGGCTTTTTTAAAGACCTAGGGGGTATTTATGTCATATTAGTGGGAGAAATCTGCAAGTTTGACCTGATTTTAGCAGGTAAATTTAGAAGGCATAAATAGTTATTAGCCTATAATGCCCCCCTGCCCATAAAATCCCAGCCAATGACAGGAAGATAATCTTTGGAAGTAAAATGTTCTAATGGATACAGTGGGAATAACCTGACTATTTTGGTTAGACAAATAGTCAGATCCCTCTTTAGTTGCTATTGGTTCTGAGCTTACTCTACACTCCACTATAAAGACTTCTGATTTTCTTTCCCTCCTTTTTGTAGGAGATGACCAAGATAGTGAAAAGTCAAAACCAGCAGGCTCAGATGGTGAGCGGCGGGGGGTAAAGAGACAGCGGGATGAAAAGGATGAACATGGCCGAGCTTACTATGAATTCCGAGAGGAGGCTTACCACAGCCGGTGAGGGAAACAGTCCCTTTCCTTGAAGGGAGTATCTGCTCTGATTTTGGTATACCTGGTGTTGATTGGATAGTCTGGAAAGAGGGGTGGCTTGAAAATTGAATAGGTTTTTTAGGCATAAGTTTTAGAATGAATATATCATGGAAGCTCGTATTGCCTTTTTTGATTGGTTGAAAGAAGCTGTCTGCTGGGATTTGATATTCACTGATAGTTTGAAGTGGACATGATGCCATGAAGACACCCCTCAAAGAAAAAGGCTTTCATTATGGTGTATTTGTTTTTCTCTCCTACTACATATAGTTCAAAATCTCCACCACCTCCAGAAGAAGAGACAAAAGATGAGGAAGAAGATCAAACACTTGTGAACCTGGACACATGTATGTATAAGGCAGATAGTTTGTTTTGTTTAGTTTTTAAAATGGTGTCGCTATGTAGCCCAGGCTAGCCTAGATGTCACTGTGTAGCCTAAACTGGCCTTCTGTCTCAGCCTCTGAAGTGATATCCTAAAAGTGACTTTGGACACCTGGTGCTGGTGGCTCACACCTGAAATCGTAGCTACTCAGGAGGCAGAGATCAGGAAGATCACTTTATGAAGCCAGCCTGGGCAAAAGTTTGAGAGACCCCTATTTCGAAAAATACCCAACCAAGAAAGGGCTGGTACACTGGCTTTCCAGCAAGTGTAAGACCCTGAGTTCAAACCCCAATACTGCCGAAAAGAAAACAAACAAACAAAAAAAACCCATGATTTTGGAAATGAAAACTTCATAGTCTGAGCCAGGCACTGGTGACTCATGCCTGTAACCCTAGCTACTGACTCATGCCTGTAATCGTAGCTACTCAGGAGGCAGAGATCAGGAGGATTGTGGTTCAAAGCCAACCCAGGCAAATAGTTCCTGAGACCCTATCTTGAAAAATCCTTCACAAAAAAGGGCCGGTAGAGTGGCTTAAGGTGAAGGCCCTGAGTTCAAGCACTAGTACCGCAAAAAAAAAAGGAAGCTTCATGGTCTACAAATTCTAAGAAACTTTTATCCCTTTTGATAACTGGGTATACTTGTACTCTATTGGCAGCTTTCAAATGTGGGGTATTATAGCTGACAATTGAATTGCATCTTCCTTAATAGATACCTCGGATCTCCATTTTCAAGTGAGCAAAGATCGCTATGGAGGGCAGCCACTTTTCTCAGAGAAGTTCCCCACTCTTTGGTCTGGGGCAAGGAGTACTTACGGAGTAACAAAGGGAAAAGTCTGCTTTGAGGCCAAGGTAAGATACTCATTAAAACCATTATTTATTTGTTAATTGAACTATATATTGTACTCATCTGTATTTTATTAGCTTAGAAAAAGATACCCACTGCAATAATACCCAGAAATCGACTCCCATAGTTTTGGTTTAAGTGAGTTATTCTGATGTTGAGTTGTGGTATTTATTGTTTTCAGTATGTATAAAAATCTTGTTTTTTTCGGCCTGGGGGCATGGCTCAAGTGATAGAATGCCTACCTAGCAAGCATGAGGCCCTAGTTCACACCCTAGTACCACCACCACCACCAAAAAAAGATCTTTCTAACTCAAACTTTGCTCCTGAGTCTGGTAGAGTATCTAAGATTTCCTTTTTCTGATTGGCCAGGTAACCCAGAATCTCCCAATGAAAGAAGGCTGCATAGAGGTTTCTCTTCTTCGAGTTGGGTGGTCTATTGATTTTTCCTGTCCACAGCTTGGTAAAGTTATTTTGTAATTTCCTTGCTTGTATCTGCTACCATGTTGTTTATTCTATGGGAACTTTGGGGCTAGGTAGCTGATTTTTTGATTTCTTGACTATTCTAGGTGAAGATGAATTCTCTTATGGTTTTGATGGACGAGGACTCAAGGCAGAGAATGGACAGTTTGAGGAATTTGGTCAGATATTTGGGGAGAACGATGTCATTGGCTGCTTTGCTGTAAGTGTTCCTGAGAGTTATGGATTCATAGCAAAGGGTGAATAAAGGGCCCTGGGAATTCAGTTGTGCATCCCATCAACTACTAGCTTTTATGCATTTGATGCATTATTTGAATTGTGCAGTAATCTGAGTTTTCAAAAAGATAAAATGGGGTGTGTGTGGGGGGGTGGGGGAATGGCCCAAACAATGTATACACATGTGAGTAATTGAAAAAACAATTAAAAAATAAATAAAAATTATCACATGAAAGCTTTCCAAACTTTAAAAAAAAAAAAACGTAAAGCTAATATTTAATCATCCTCAAACCCTGTCAGCCCATAACTGGTCTTGTTCTTTGTCCTTACAGAATTTTGAGACTGAAGAAGTAGAACTTTCCTTCTCCAAGAATGGAGAAGACCTAGGTGTGGCATTCCGGATCAACAAGGAATCCCTGGCAGATCGGGCCCTTCTACCCCATGTCCTCTGCAAGAATTGTGTTATAGAATTAAATTTTGGTCAGAAAGAAGAACCCTTCTTCCCACCACCAGAAGAGTTTGTGTTCATCCATGCTGTGCCTGTTGAGGAGCGTGTGCGCACTGCAGTCCCTCCCAAGACCATGGAGGAGTGTGAGGTATGCCAAACAATATGCAGAAATGTAGGTTTCGTATTTTGGAATGGTGGATGAGTATGTTCTCCAAGCATTAATAAACTGGGATGGGCAGGATGTTCTTAAATTGGCTTTTACAAAATGGCCACTTACTTTTCATGGCATTACTGTTTCTGTTTGCTTGCAGGTCATTCTGATGGTGGGACTACCTGGATCTGGAAAGACCCAGTGGGCATTGAAATATGCAAAAGAAAACCCTGAGAAAAGATATAATGTCCTGGGAGCTGAGACTGTGCTCAACCAAATGAGGGTCAGTTGCTGGGGGCAGTTAGCTAGCTATAGTATTTGTTCTGGGGGATACCAGGAAACTCTTATATTCTCAGTGGAGAGTTAGTCTTTTAAGTGTCTGTGAACAAGTGTCTCATAAGTAGAAAAGTGAGCTTTTCTTCTATGTTTCAAATGGATTTTTTTTCCTCCTTTGGTATTTTGTCAAATTACTGAAAGTGTATAAAATCTCACCTATATCCAGGTTGAGAATGGAAATTACTACTACAGGAACTAGACCATATTCACAGCACCAAGGAAGAAGGATGATTTGATATGATAGATGTAGCATTTAAAGCAGAAGCAGCTTTAACTTGCTGCATAACTTCTTGTATTCCTTTTTCCTTCTCATACTCATCAGATGAAGGGGCTCGAGGAACCAGAGATGGACTCCAAAAGCCGAGACCTTTTAGTTCAGCAAGCCTCCCAGTGCCTTAGTAAGCTGGTCCAGATTGCTTCTCGGACAAAGCGGAACTTCATTCTTGATCAGGTATTGTTCAAACATTAAGAGGAACCTGGTTTTGTAGAGTATCCAAAGCTGAAATTTTCACATCCATTCAATTTTGACATAATTGCTTACAATAAAAAGTGGGATGCATATGTGGACAGAACTGAATTAAGGAACAGAATCAGGTTATCTAATTATGACCATGTGCTTCTGAGTTATGTTTGTAACATTTTTTTAACATAATGGAGGTACTCCTTATTAGTGTTTTCACCTGAGCATATATGGACCCAGGTAATAGGGACAATGGAAGGAGAGTTGGAGCTCATTTAGATCCCTGACTCCACAACTTACTAGATTTGTGATCTTGACAAGCTCTTTAACCTTTCTAGCCTTAGTTTTTCTGATGTGCAAAATAAAATATTGGTTATCTACAGTTTGAAAAATTAAGGAAGGCTTGGTGATAAAGCTCAGTGGTAGAGCACTTGTCTACCATGTACAAGGCCCTGGATTTGAACCTTGGTGTGTATATTAACTCCTAATCTGGTGCTTCAGTTGCAAAAGATAGAAAATTGGTTGAAGTTGAGTGGTAATTTTTATTCCAAACATCTCCTTTTTCCCCTGTTCCTAGTGTAATGTGTACAACTCTGGCCAAAGGCGGAAGCTATTGCTGTTCAAGACCTTCTCCCGAAAAGTGGTAGTGGTTGTCCCTAATGAGGAAGACTGGAAGAAGAGGCTGGAGTTGAGGAAAGAAGTGGAAGGAGATGACGTGCCTGAGTCTATAATGCTGGAGATGAAAGGTGGGCTAAAATTAGACAAGTCTTAGCACCAGGAATGACTCTCCATATGTAAAGCATAAATCTGAAGAGCAACTTAATGAATGCCAACACTGTAAATAAATCAATTAGCAGAGTAAATGGGGAAGCAGTAATCCCTTGACTCACTCTGGATGAGATACAAAAAGGAAAGTAGTGAATCTATGTGGTGGCACATACCTGTAATGCCAAGCTGAGGCAGGAAGATCTTGAGTTAGAGGCCAGCCTTGGCTACATTGTGAGACCCTGTCTCCCAAAAGAAAGAGGAGGAGGGAACTAGAGGTGTAGCTCAAGAGGTTAAGCACCTGCTTTGCAAGTGAGAAGCCCTGAGTTCAAACCCAAGTCCCACCAAAAAAAACCCACGAAAAACCTTCCCCCAAAAAAAGGAAATGGTAGACTGCAAGATAACTATAATTCAAAGAAAAAACAGGTTCCTTGAGTCAGCTATTCAATGTATAAATATTTATAGTATATCTACTATTTGACCATCACCATCATAGATGTAGGGAAATCACATATGAAATGAGTTCACTCTTCATGGAATAATTTCCATGAAAGAGGGGTGGGAAATTATTAGGATTCAAATTAAAATATGATGGTTGGAGTGATTTCATTAATATATGTGGTTTCTGTATCATTAGGCTTGTGTTTTGTTTTGCCTCATTTATGTTCTTGTTTTGTTTTTTTGTACATGAATGAAATTGTTTAATGTATTACAAAATCTGTATGTAGCAAGATCCATCCAAGGTAGTAGTAACTATTTTGTTTGATCTTGCTCCCTGCTGTTCCTTTAAGATTTTAATTTTCCCCTTTCGGTCTTTAGCTTGTGGCCTCCTTCCTGCCCTGTAAACTGCTGGCTCTTCAAATTTTGTTAATCCCTGGCCATGGGAACTTGTTTACACATCCATGAGCTGAAATCTCCAAATTTATACAGAATGAACTTTGCCAGTCCATAAATTGACACTCAGGCTCTTGAAGGATTTTAATGCAGTTTCATAAAATTGGACTAACTGGATTCATTTAAGAATTACAAGCCAAGCACCAGTGGCTCATACCTATAATCCTAGCTACTCCAGAGGCAGAGATCAGGAGAATCACAGTTTGAAGCTAGCCCTGGGCAAATAGTTCTCCAGACCTTACCTCAAAAAAACCCATCACAAAAAGGACTGGTGGAATGGCTCAGGGTCTAGGCCCTGAGTTCAAACCACCCAGTAGTAGGGGGAAAAAAAAGAAATCATGAGAGCCCCATTGAAATAAATTCTGCTGGAACTCAGCCTATGAACTTGATGTCCAGAGACTGACAAATGTGCTAATCATGTACCAGTGGCAATGAGAGATTTGTACTCTTGTTCTCTGTTCTTTTGTAGATAAGTTGATGCCTTTAAGGCTTTCTCTTAAAAATGTTACTATTTACCTAAACACCACCAAAATTTTCTGTTACTTTTAGCCAGTGTTACCTTATTCTGTTTTGATAAGAAGACTTAGCCTAGCTCACTATTATGGATCACTTGAGAACTTGTGAATCTACAGTTTGCTTGGGGCTGTTGCCATTTAGGAAAAACTTAAAGTAAAAAAAGTGAATTTGATTATTTAAGGGTGAGTGAGTTATGAACCCAGCTCATTTTCATGCTTTGCTAATGTAACTCTTATGCTTGGGCTGGGTATGGTGGCTTAAGCCAGTAATCTCAGTTACGCAGGAGGTAGAGATCAGGAGGATCATGGTTCAAGACCATTGGGGGAAAAAAGTTATTGAGACCCACTCACCACTCCCCCCCTCTGTCTGAACCAACAAGCCAGGTGTATTGGTGTGGGTCTGTGGTCTCAGCTACTCGAGAGGTCCTAGGTAGGAGAATCTCTGTCTGAGGTCAGCTCTGGGCAAAAAGGTAAGACCCTACCTGAAAAACAACTAAAGCATGAAAGGGCTGGAGGTGTGGCTCAAGTGGTAAAGCAGCTGCCTGGCAGGTGTAAGGCCATGAGTTAAAACCCAGTACTGCCCAGAGAAAAAAAAATGTCATGTCTGTCCAGGCCTGGTGGTTCACACCTATATTCCTAGAATTAAGGAGGCTGATGCAGAAGAATCTCCAGTTCAAGGCCAGCCTAAGCAACATAGCAAGACTCGGGGGGGAAAAAAAAAAAAAAAACAGGGCTGGAAGTGTGGCTCAAACAGTAGAGCACAAGGCCCTCCTGGGTTTAAACCACCCTATGGTGGGGTGGGGGGTATAACTCAGTGATAGAGCACTTGTCTAAGCATGTGCAGGGACCTGAATTCCATTCCTAGGACTGTAAAAAAATAAATAAATAAAATCTTAAGCTTCCTATAGTAAAATTTTCATTAGTTCTTACTCAACTATACACTTTATAGACCCACAAACTTCTCTCTTACTCTTATAGCCAATTTCTCTCTGCCTGAAAAATGCGACTATATGGATGAGGTGACATACGGGGAGCTGGAAAAGGAGGAAGCTCAGCCCCTTGTCACTAAGTACAAGGAGGAAGCAAGGAAGCTGCTGCCTCCCTCTGAGAAGAGGACAAACCGCCGAAACAACCGAAACAAACGTAACCGACAGAACCGAAGCCGAGGCCAAGGCTATGGTGAGTCTTGGGGATCCGTCAGCCTCCAGCCTTAGTTCATTCTTTGTGCTGAGGACAGCAAGACCCATCAGGAAAGGCCTAGGAAACCAAGTCAGGTCACTCACAATAAGGAAGTGCCTTCTTTATGGAGCTTATTTCTTCCTGTGTCCTTTACAAAGCCTGCTTCTTAAACTTTTTCCATAATGCTTTGACAGAAATGATACTTTTCAGCAAAAATGTTTGTTTCTTTGAAAAGCAGTGCTGTGCCTTTTCATCTGTCTGGTTTTCATGTGAACAATATAGGATCCCCACTTCACTGTGCCAGTACATTAAAAGGATTTGATAGTAAAATCTGTTTCTCTGAAGTTTTCTTGCTGTTTTGTCTCTACCCAGCTGTAGAGACCAGAAAGTAAATACATCATTTAGTAATTCTGTGAAGTTACAAAGCCAGTTATAGGTCAGTAGTGAAGTTAATTTTCCCTTTGAATGCCTAGTTTGTCATCTAAATCCACAGTGTGTATCTATTCACTGCTCTTTGTATATGTGTGTGTGTGTGTGTGTGTATGTAATTGTAAGTCAACAGATTTTAAGTGCTGCCTGTGTGCTGGGCACTGAGAATACCAACAGATCCTGCCCTCATGGAGTTACTATGTAGACTTTATTTCCATTTTATAAAATGATGGGTATAGATATGATATCTTAGATCCCTCTCAGGGCTGAAAGTCTGTGATCCTAAGAATGGCAGTTTTTTACTCATGTTTCTAATTCTGCCATGTATTCTTTTGCCATCTTAAATGTTTTGCAGGATTGGGGAACTTCAAAAGCAAGGTGGCTCGGTTTTCTTGTGTCTGTATTCCTCTGCCCTCCCCCCTCAGGCTCTTTAAAAGATCCTGGCTGGTGCTTTAATTAACATTGTGTGAGCTTGGCTGAATCAGGCCTATTCCCCTAGAATTGCCTTTGGCTCCGACTTTTTTGATTTCCACTCATACTTGGAGCCAGGACCCCATGCCAGCTGTCTGAGCGCGCTCTCCATTTCTCTTCCAGTGGGCGGGCAGCGCCGAGGCTACGACAACCGGGCCTACGGGCAGCAGTACTGGGGGCAGTCTGGAAACAGAGGGGTGAGTGCAGCTCTCCTTCTGCTCCTCCCTCTGGGCTGTGATAGCCATTCCTATTGGCTTGGGGGAGCAGAGGGGTTTGGGCTGTTTTCTCAGGGCTTAGGGTTTTGCCCACTTATTGTGTTGATATAGAAGAATTTTTCCTGGGAAAAGAATTTACCCTGTTTATAATAAGAAGCTAAGCTGTGTCTTGTTTAAGAAGGGGTGACCATGGGTCATGCTGCTGAAAAAACCCATAAATTTTTGCTCCTCTCTCTTTCTCAGGGCTACCGTAATTTCTATGACCGATACAGGGGAGACTACGATCGATTCTATGGGCGAGATTATGAGTACAACAGATACAGAGACTATTACAGACAATACAATCGGGATGTAAGTATTTTCTTGGGATAGATAGAAGGTAAACAGGGACAGGACCAGAAGGATGAGTGCTATGCCTCTTCATCCTTAGTCAACTTTGGTTCCAAGTGATGGGTTTCCCCTCTCTTCTAGTGGCAGAATTACTACTACCACCACCCCCAGGAAAGAGACCGATACTACAGGAACTACTACGGTTACCAAGGGTATCGGTGAAGCCCCTGCCATTGTCGCCTGTCAGCCATGAAGCTGAATCTCTGGGGGTGCCAAGCACCCCCCCAAAACACAACCAAGGAAAACAGGGGCTGTTGGGGTGGGGCTGAGCTGCTGGGGACGGGTGGTGGGGGGGAGGGTGCGCAACGGGTGGGGGAGGGGGAGGGTGGAAACAAAACAACAAAACTGTACATTTTTTTTAAAGTTTGTTGAAAAGAATATTGTCTTATTCTATAAAACATTTCAAACCTAGTTAGATATTTGTAATCAAAAAACATTTGCGCAGAAAGCAGCACTTAGGGCTACCTGTTAGGTACCCTACAGTTGGGACAGGAAAAGAACTGAAAAGTGTCACCCTTCTGACATTCTAAGGCAGCTGGCCTTGCAGCCAAGTAAGGGCGAGTGGTGTAGGGAAGAGGGTACCTTCCTTAGCAGGTAGGAGCAGGCAGGAGTGGGGACAGAGGGAGCGCTTGTGATGGGGCAGTGAAAATAAACGATTGGCTCTTACCAATCACTTGCACCAACTAACCGTTTGTATTTTCTTTACCAACCTTTCCCTCTTGGGATATCTGGTCTGGTGGGCTGGGAGGCCAAAATGTCCCATTGTTCACTTTGCTGTGCCTTTGTGCTATCTGGCTGAGGCACAGAGACTGCCAATTAGGTGGTTCTGTAATACAGGATTTCCAGGCCAACATGGGAACTGTTCTGGATTGCAGAGCAGAATCGCTTGCCCCTCCATGTACCCAAAAGTAAATTCCCATGAAGTCTTGGGGAAAGTGGGATCGTAGCCCTCAGCCTGAAGATTGTGATTTGCCATTCTCTAGTCTCTGTCTTCCAAGTTGAGAGAGGCTAGAGGTCTCTGAAGTCATCTGACAGAGTGTCTTCCTCTTACAGTGCAAGAAAAGGAACGATTCTCAGGGTTTCAGCTCATAGAAATGCAGCAGGACTCTGTTCACTGCAGTAAGCTATGTATATAGGTGAATCCTGTGGTGTGGGCTCCCAGGCCCAGGTGCTGAGAATAGCAACTATTTTATACAGTATGGGGGGGGAGGGCTCTGCCCTGCTGTTTTTTTTGATACATAGGTAGAGAGTGAATAGAAAAGGGGTGGGGGTGGGGGTGGGGGTGGGGGGAGGGAGGCAGCTCAGTGGGGCTGCTAAAGCTTGGGAAGAGTTTATGAATATGTGTGTACATGCGTGTAAAAGGGAGCACCCCTCTCAGACATCTTGAACACCAGAATTCTTTCTGGGATGCTTCCTTGCATATCCCCCAGAGATCTGGGCCTCTAGTCAAGAGACTTCAGTTAGGATCAGTGGGATTGTTTAGTTTGTAGCTCTCAGTTCTTGACAAAACAGCTACAGGTTGCTGGGTTCAAGAATATTGGTGGGATATGGGGATGCTCTTTCAATATTCAGCTTCAGTTTTAATTCATCTTTCTGCTTAGCATTGTGTCAACCAAGAGCTTACTCAGCAAACACCATATATAGCACTTTCTAGGGAGAGAAAACCCTGGATTGTGCTATTAGAAAATGCTTCAGTTCCACTTTCTCACCTGGGCAGTTCTCTGTTTAAAATTTTGTGCTGATATTTGATCTTTCCTCTCTTGTCATGCAGTGCTTTTCTAGGTGTGCAGACCCTCATTCTTGCCCTTTGGTCATCCCTGTTAGGACACACCCTTCTGCTCATGCACCTGTGACCCTGAGGCTAGACAGGGCAGGAGGCTGATAGGAGATGGTGCTTGCTCAGTGATGTTTTTTTCCTCTTGGTACCTGCTTCTTTTTGGTGCCATCAAATGGATTTGTGTGTGGCAGTGGGTGAAGTGATTGCATGAATCTTACTGTAACCCACTAGCTCTTTATTGCTGTTAAAGGAGTTTGAGAAAACTTTCCTCATAATATCAGGGCAAGAAAGTAAAAACTGGAGCCCAAAGAAATTCCCTTAGGGCAAGATAATGTTATAGAGAATTTAATTTCCTGAGGCAGAGGCTTACCCCCAACCCCTTTTTAAATGTTCAGTCCTCCAGTGAATAGCATCTTTTTATAGTCTATGACATGGGTTGTGGATGCTATGGGGAGAAAGCTTAAACTGCTTCGGGTGTTTTTTTGGGGGGGTGTCATTAGGGGGAGTACTTTTCATTTTTGGCACTAGAAAAGTCATCTTTTTTTAAAAAGCTGTTTTTCTAGGTAGGTGGAGAATGAAACTGCCACATCCTTTTTGGTTCAGTCCAAGAGATTACTCGCAGCAACAGTGGATATCTGGGTTTTTGTCTGTTTTTATTATGAAGAAATAATGTTAAGGGGACAAATGTGGATTATGGAAACAGGTGGGAACCCTAGCCTTGTTTTCCTTAGAAGACTTGTTTAGCGTTTTATCAGTTGTCTGTTGTAGTTGTTGTAGATGGAGAAGCTTGTGAGAAAAACAAACACCACATGGAGCCTGTAAATGTTTTTGCACAACCTGTAAAGCATTCTTGGAAGTGGCCAGTAAAAGGGTTTTACCATTTAAAAAAAAAATGTAACTGTGTCATTGTTTACATCTGTAACTTTTTCTTCCCTGTTCTCATTACAACCTACTGGCACAGTAGCTTCCAGTTTTAGAATAAATAACCATTTGGATTGAATTCACCCTATCTTCCTGTGGCTGTACTGACTGGGGTAGAGTGTCATTGGGGTGTTTTATTTATTTATTTTTATTTTATTTTATTTTTTAATGCTTATTTCTCAAATTCCACTGGGTGTAACCAAGGATGGTTTTCCTCTTGTATGGCTGCTGTTCCCTTCCTTTTCCATCATGCGTTCATTTGGGAGCCAAGCCATGCATTCACTTTGGGATGTAAGTGGGTCTACTTAGTTCATGCTTATGCTAAGAGTTTGAGTGCTGGAGTAGAAAATAAATTTTAACTTATGACCTATGTGTATTTGGGCTATCCTAAAACCAGTTGGGTACTTGAGGTAAAACATAAGGTTTCTTGCAAAAAGGAAAATAACTTTTTCATTACTAATTGCCACCTAGGAAGAAAAGCATAATTCATTCATCAGATGTTTGATGGGAGTTATTTTCTAGTGAATGTAAAGAATGAGAAGTTAACTTTAATTAACAAATTAACACTATTACATTACTAGTACTGAACTGATCATGACCAATTTCTAATGGTCAGGGCCTTTGGCATTAAGGTTGACAGAGCATAGGTTCATGGCATGCAGTGTTCTGAGTGGAATTTTATAGGTAGTGCTTCAACTCCTCTCTTCTCAGATCCTACTTGGATCCAGGGCTTTGGAGCTTTGTATCTAATTGCCATCCTTGAGTTTGGTGGCTGACTATTCACTAGGAGTCTTTTTTTTTTTTTTTTTTTTTTTTTT